TATACTACAATAAGTAGTATATGAATGAGTCAAAATTCCCCTGGAAACACAAAACCACCTTCGCGGATCTTGCCGCTTGTCAGGCATGCGTTTGAACTGAGGATGGATTTATGCGACTAGTCAAAACTATAAATGGATCGCCCAAGCGAAAAATTTAAACTTTCGTTGATGCCCACGAATATGATACACATAATGCTGCAAACCCTACTCCAGCTATCAACCTCCACAGAATTTCTAAACCAGATAGCATCTAATTGATTGCTGACCTGATATTTCCCAGTCCTAGCACTGAAAGAAAGAAAGAATGCTAGCCGCCAGACAAGTTGACCGACTGGTTTTAGTAGGAAACAAGATTGTATCAAGTCCGAAGCACTAACAGCTGCGTACACCTTTGTATGTTGGCCATGCGACCAAAGTCGTCATTGACCAAGCCCCAGTGAACGTCACACAGTAATATAGCAATAATGAGATAAATTTCTTCTACTGCGAGGTATGTAGTCAACTGATAACGCTTGCCCTTTATAGACGCTAGAAAGTGCGAAGGGTGGAAAAATGAGTCATTTACTAAAAGATTGTTAAGGTCCTTAGGACACTAAATACACAACGATGTACCCTGAGCATGCTGGTAGCACACCTAAGTCAATTATTCGATAAAAGGAAAATGAGACGTACATCTAGCACGGTTATGTAATAGACGCATGATAGTGGTTATTTTGGAACTATCATAGGCTTCCCGGAAGTTGACCTCTGTGCTCCGTGAAGACAGTGTATGGCCTCATGTAAAGTGAAACAGATTTCATGGAGTCCATTAGTTCTGTACGACCACAAATGCCGAACTTTCATAGCACTACTGCCGAACTTGATTAACAAACAAACATCTCTCTGGCATACAAAGAATCTAATGAGATACTAAACAGAAATAAACTCAAAAAAGAAGGTAGTCTTACCATCATATTTTAGTAAGAATGCTTGGGCATCTGCGTACTGTTGAGCTGCCAAATAGCATTCAATTAAATTCTCATGAATGTTGAACAAGTTCAAGTTAGGATATTCTTTAATGAGCTGAAACAATCGGAAAAACAGTGAAGAAATTCAACAACTGAGTACTTGGGTAAGATGAACAAAGTGACAAATCACTGGTGGGTCAGGAACCCAGGCCAAAGCGTTTGCCGATAATTTGATAGCAGTGGTTGTTAAAACATCAACGGTGAGAAGGTAAATAGAACGATGTTCGTAAAAACCTAGAGAGAGACCGGGGGGAACGGCTCCGAAAGACCTAGTATGGTCTGGGTGGGTGTCTCGGGTTGAGGCTGGTCACCCCTTCCTTGCACCTCGTGAGACGCTCCTATACAACCAAGCGTCTCAGATAGCTTCTGCTGAGGAAGGCATACGCACTGCCTTCTCGTGGTGGAGGTTCCTCCCCAATAAAGTGAGACGACGAAAGGCCGACATCCAGGTCGGTGAACCACCGGCAATCTACATAGGGGAGTTAACTAAAAACCCTGAGTCCAAACCAACCGAGGTGTACGGACCACACCCGCACCACACCGCAGTGGTCACCGGCTCGATTGGGTATCGAGGTGTATTGGGCACCTTGGACACTTATGCCCGTCCGAAGGGCGTATGATCTAATGTACAACGGCCCCTATTGGCTTGCTGTGATCACACACTGCTCTGCTGCCTTGCGGGTCAAGGTTTGGCTAACCGACGGCTTTGGTTATGAATTCCTCGGGAAAATTCACCTGCCTTGGGTTGAGAAACCTGGCAGTATCGCGTACACGAACCAACCACGGCACGTTTTCCTTTTCGAAAACATAATTGTGTTGCGATTTGTTTGAGCAGTGGCGAGGGTGCTACACGGTCTATCTGTTGAAATTCCGTGCTCCATTAACATAACATAACACAGACGAAAAAAACATCATCAACATCAAACCAGCGAAAAAGCATTATTTTTCATTATCTATGGCCTGCTGCCTCTCATTTTCTTTAGTTGTACGCAAATTACGCTTGCTTTTTTTCATTGCTGTCGTATTGTCACACTTCACACACATCCAAGTCCAAACTGCCGTTGTCAAACAGACAATGGTAGAATAACCTTTCAAAGAAAGAAAACGGTCTATGATTTTCCCGTGAATGGAGTAGTGCAGGGTTGCCCAGACTAAAGCAGATAAGTATTCTTGGAGAATCCACATCTGGAGCCTTTGATTAGCCAAAGCCTGATGTGCAGTGCACTGGAGCGGTGAGAAAACCGCAATCCTCTCGGGGCCGATATCCAATTCATCGGGTTATACGACCTCTGGACGAGGTCAAACATCCAATACACCCAATGCAGCTCGATGCCCAATCGAGCAGGCGACCACTGCCACAATCAAGGTGTGGGTGTAGTTTGTGCGCCTTTCATGGTTGATTTGGAATCAAGCCTTTCAGTTCACTCCCCTAGGCAATTTGACATTGATTCATTAATCCATTTATAGCCCCAAACGTTGGCTTTTCGCCCTCTCCACTATATATATATATATATATATATATATATATCATAGGTAGTTAAAAACTATATCACCATTATACACTGATTGGTTATTTGAAACCAACAGTGATATTACTGATATTTTGACATGGACCTTCAAGAAAACAAACATTATGATATCTCGGAAAAACGGATGAACCGCTATATACATAGTAAGCCCGAAGAAGGATAGGTTCATCGTAGTAAAGTTCGGTTTCGTCGCAACCAATTGTTACAGTAATCCAAACGAAACAAAAGACAGACTTACATCTTTCATCATCTTTATTGCTTCCTTAAGTTTACCTAGCTTGCGTGCGCACATCGCTAGACGTCTTCGAATAAATACAAACACGTGTATATCGCGACGATACATTGATTCGTGCGCTGGACTGTGGTTCTGCATCTGTTGAGACCTGCGAAGTGATGCTTCGGCTACTTTGTACGCTTGTTTATACATTTGTTCCGCCTGTAAAATAGCAATGGATGAAAAAGTAATTTCATAATAATGTTCAAAATTAGTACGATATATACTGCAAAGTTCACTGAGTGTTGCTATCGAAATACAGTGACAAGTGAATAAAAATGAACTAAATGTTATTGGATCAAGTTCTAATACTTTATTCAGGATTAACTTCTGCGAGACGTTGAGTGGAATTTCTGGATATCTCTGATTTTGGCAAGGGTTCGTGATAAAGTCTGTACAGTTCATAAATTAATCGCGGCTCCATTGCAGAACTCCTCAAATCGAGTGTGGGCTTGGGCATTTTACGTCGAAATGCACTGGAGTGGACCAATTTTTTCCTATCAAATAATGAATATGAATTAGAGCTGAAGGAATAAATCCCAAGGCATGAAGGTCTACTATACAAAAACGAGAATGATGCGGAGTAATTACGCTAAAACCAATTGGTTGATTCTGTTTGAAAAAATGCATACTGGAAGAATGAGGAAGTGTAGTGGTTGATGGTGCTCCATGGTTTTGGAAGCATAGTTTCCCTGTAACGAATTTGAATAAAGAAGCCAAAAACACAGGTTTGCACAATGTATCCTGGATCATTTCTGGATAATTACAACCGCCCGGTTGCCAATACCATCGGTGAAAGAACCGCTGTCTCCCCACGCCAAATCTAATTGTATCTATCAGTTCAAGTGTGGATGCTCGGCCATCTACATCGGTAGAACGGAGAGACAACTGCGTTATCGAGTAACCGAGCACATCCCGGTTTGGCTCAAAAAACAATGAGTGGAAATTTCGGAAGTATGAGGTCACCAATGACGCGTAGGAAACTCAGTTCGTCGATCACAACACCCGGTCGAAATGAAACACTGTCATGCTGAGCGATGCGTTCAGAATCCTCTACAACACAAACAACACCAAGGTTCTGAAATACGCTGAGGCACTAGCCATTCAAAATTACCATCCCAAACTATATAAACAGCGGGAATGGCTTATCACTCTGGCGCTACCTTGATAACAAATGTGTTTGGCGAGTAATTTTGACCGCAATCTTTCTCCGTGGTTTATTAGTTTTCGGAAAAAACGACAAGCTAAAGCAAATGTCGGTGTATGGGACATTTCATAAGAGTGGGTAAACCGTCGTACCCCTTAGGGGCATCCTCCTCTTCTTTAGTCTCTATCATACACTTGTCACAGAAGAAAGAGTGATCGTCGCATTCAGCCTATAAACTAGCGACACAACATACAGTTGAAAATAAAACCGGTATCGGCCGAGACATCCGACCAAGATGAAGGTTGGAGAGACTGCAAAAACAGGTTGATTCAAATTTCTGAAAGGCCAGGCTTGAAAATAAACTAACGAAATGAATGCTTTTTTACCTTCAAATACAAATGCCCCTAATTACCAAGTTCAGATGCATTACCATAATATGATAAGAAATTTGGAAAACAAAATCGCGCCTTTTGATTTTCTCTTAAAAGATTTGTTGATTTGATAATGTTGATGCTATTTTCTCTTCCTAGATTGCCCATTTGAAGTTCGCGAAACTGGTCGAGAGAAAGACCGTGCTATCTGAAGTGTGCTGACGACAACGTTTACCTGCTCGAATCTATGGAAGATGCACAAAGAGCACGTGACAGATCAGCACGTTTCGAGGCTCCGTTCGGCACGCGTTTTGCACACTCAAAGTGCAAAATGCTGCTGCAAGACTGGGTGTCGCCGACTTATGCTTTGAAACTAGACCGTCAGGAATTAGCTTAGTTGACTGCTTCTCGCACTTGGGTAGTTACATGAAAAGACGCTATCCCATGAAACGAGACAGCCGAGCGCATTTCCAAGGCTCGAGGAGACTGTACCTTGACATAATGTGATGGCTTGTGCACCTCTATAACCCAACGAGCTACACAGAATGGATTTTGTCGAGCCAAAGATCCAATCATGCCTGGAACGTCAATGGGTAGACGTCAGACAAAGTCCAGTCTCCTGGTCCTCCAGGTTGGGGGTTCCACTTGAGTCGGTATCTCAGTCTATAAAACGTGATAGAAGAATAATTGATCCAAGTTATTGGGCCTCCAATCCGCTTTAAAAGCTGCTTTGCAGTCAAGTTCTTGTCAGAACGGCTTTGGCTGTGAACTCTAATCGTTATCATGCCTAGTGGCTGGACACCCTGGCAGTACCCGTCCATAAAGCTCCAATGAACACTAAAAATAATTTCTTACTGCATGGGTTGTTGCGCAGGATAATCAGGACAGCGCTGCCCATTGTATCGAGCGGGGTGGGTAGTGATAAGTGGGCTAGTGCTCAGATATCCCAACCTTTGTTTAACTCTTTGTCTTCCGTGCCCAACCCTCTTCCTTTACCCCTTCTACCGACCTGTAATAGTCCCTCAAGCAACTTGGATGTCGCTCGCCAAATAGCATTGTTATTGATTTTCCACGGAATGGATTACAGATTCTAAAGCCTCGTCAGTCACTAAATTCGGGGGCTTTCAACGTGAAGACTCTTATATAGGTAGGTCAACAGGCGTGTCTTGCGTAGCAGAGACACGAACTCAGGATCCTAGTATTTTAAGCTACCTGAGTGCGCCGGGTCTGTCCTCAAGGTATTTTCTTCACATACCAGGAGACGACGAAGCCTGCTCACTGGGTCAGCGTGGTGTAGGAATCGTACTAAACGATAAACCTGAAGCCTCTATGATAGATTGTATACCCGTCAATAGTCGTTTGTGTGCAACGAGGCTACAGAGTTTAGCTATTGTTCGGAAGGGTAGCAACAACAAAAGGTGTTTTCCCATCATTTCCGCGTATGCATCAACTGCAGTCCCGCCTCAAAAAAGGACAAATTTTACGACGAACTCGCCGAACTCATTCGATTGTGCCTTAGCTCTAATATTATAGCGCTGGCACGTGAGTTTAACACACAGATTGGAAAACTGAGCGCATCCGAGGCCTGTCTAGGAGAGCACTTCACCGTCCCCACCTAGCGCACAGACAACGGTGATCGACTACTTCAGTTCTGCGCGGATCGCCGGCTGTTCTTATCTAGCACCAACTTCCGACTTACCGACAGTGGTGGCGTTCTTGTTGTCATTTATATCAGGTCAGAATGTTTGAAAAGGCATGTGTTCGATACCAAGAGCTGTGTCCGTCAAGAGTGCACTATTTCGTCATTCTTGTTCAATCTCGTTGTAGTACTGGAGAACGCACTTAGTCTCAAACGTGGGTATTGAATGGGTAGCTGGAGATAAGTTGTGCGATTTAGAATATACTGACGACATCGTATGCCTGTTCGAATCTATGGAGGATGCGCAATGCGCCCTTGACAGACTTTCAAGTTCGGTAACACCTTTCGGCATGCGCTGTGCTTTTTTAATGTGCAAGGCAGGCCATCCCTTTATGCTGCCGTTATAACGAAACAACACACCATCCACGGGTCGTGAATTAAAATGAGCCAGGGGTGGGTGACTTGCAACTATTCTAACATCGTTCTAATTCTTTGGAGTCAGTATTTTACGGCATTTCAGCAAAACTTGTTTTTTGATACCACTAAACTTACATCGACAATCAAAGAGCATTCCTCTTCCGCTAGAAGAATCATTGCAGTAGCACACTCCGGATTTTTTGCCAAGGCTTCTTTAGTCTTCTTTATACGTTCCTCATGGTTGCGTTCTCTCCAAGCCATCTGCATAACTGGGGTATTCAGTCATAGGAAAGAATGAAAACATTACGTTCATACTCCGGCCTCCCAGCATCAGCCTCACATGTGAAAAATGTCTGATGGTCTTGAGCTGACAGGTTCATGTCATAGTATGTAAGAGGATCTCTACCAGTCTCCCTAAAAAAACGCTGATATTCAGCACCCCTGAAGAGACTATATGGATTACGCCAAACTTTGCATTCTGAAAGAGGGTAGTTAAAACATGCAGTCCATACCTTGCGTTGTTGTAATGGGTCCGTTCGAGTCGACGCTCTCACAGTCGTTGTCATCATCTGCCCCACCAATCAGCGGGTAAATGTGGGTTAGTGATATTTGCTCGATAAATGATTTTCCATATTTCCGAAAATACCACCATTCGAATATCTGAGAATAAGTGAGGGCTAGTTAATTACCAAAATCAATCCTGAAATTAGGGAGCTAGTTCCTGTAAGCGCCACATAGAATTTAGGCGAGAGCGTATTGAGGAACATGCTCACTAACAAATGACGTTAAATTCGAAAGTAGCTCACTGTGTTTTACTTTATCTGGCAAATGCAGAGGCCGATAAAGAAAATAAGAAATTATCGCAATGATGAAGAAGCAAACACTCCAGAAGCAACCGAGTGGCCAAGAACAACTATCAGAATTTTGCTCAGCTGGTCGATAGCATAAGCTCATAATACTATTCCTTGCTGTAGCGTAACACTTCGAAGTGCCCTCTCTGTACAGGTCAGTTCAGCTCAGGACAGAATAGTTCAGTTCAGTTCAGTTCAGTTTGCACAGAACGGAATTGGCCGAGACCAATCGCGCGTCCAGATCGTTGTGTTTTCAACTAGTTTCCTTGTTCTGAAAGGCAGAATATTTAGGTCTTGAAGTCTTGAAGTGACTCTCGGGTTCGAGGCTGGTGCAGTATCTCATTCACTAGATATGTAAAAATGAAATACTTCTTGAAATATCCCCATAGATCACTGAAAAGACCAGTGAAGCGAAGAATTCTTTACGGTTACTCATGCTCAAGCTTCCTCATTAATAAATGATCACAAAGTGGCAACAATAGTCACGATTTACAAAATAAACTGTGGTGGGGGAGGGGGTGGTTACAGGGTTTTTCGTTTACTAACCACCCCCATCCGGGGAACGCTTCCGAACCTGAGGTCTCTCGCCTGAACAAGGGGAGAAGATACTTTTTCTTCACCCTCTTCCCTTGCAGAGACGGAGACAACTGAGACGTGAAGAAAACGTGTAGAACTGCAATATAGAACACGCAGTGGTAGGGGCCGGAACGGGGCTTACTACCGGAGGAAATCTTGATGCTCGATTGGCCGTGGCCA